GGGGTGCCCCAAGGTTCGATACTCGGCCCCCTATTATTTATAATTTTTGTAAATGATATTTTTTCAATATCATATAAATGTACTACAATCCTGTTCGCCGACGACACCAATATTTTTTTGTCGGGAAAAGACCCAAATGAATTGTTCCTAGAAATGAATCGTCAGCTCCAAAAATTCTGTGATTGGTTTTTGAAAAATAAATTGGCATTGAACTTAAGTAAATCATGTTATATTATATTTGGCCCTAAAATAAGTACTAATAACAAAATTCTAGAAAAAAATAAATTGTTCATTCAGGGCACTGTGCTCCCAAGAGTGCAATCGATAAAATTTTTGGGGGTTATACTTCAAAGTGATTTAAAATGGACCAATCACGTTAACAAAATAGTCAATAAATTGTATCAAGTTATTGGAATATTATTTAAAGCGAGAAACAGATTGGATACTGAAACAATGATGATGCTTTATTATTCTTTTCTATATCCCTATCTGCTGTATGGGAATGTTTTCTGGGGATCCGCAAGTAAATATCTAATCAATAAGATCATTGTGCTGCAAAAGAGTTTTATACGCCTGTGTTTCTCCTTAAGTTATCGTGATCACACCAATCATTTGTTCCGAAGTCATAAAATTCCTAGGGTTTGATCAATTACACAATTACATTCTTCTGATTTTTCTTTATAAAATTCTTTCTTATAACGATTATAAGCACCTAAATGTTTTTTGTAAGATCACATCGGCCACCAGACAACATGGTATGTTGATGCCAAAAAAAGTTAGAACTTCTACTTACGATAGAAGTTGGGTTGCTAAGGGAGTTAGACTTTGGAACGCTTTAGCTATGCATAACCAATTGCAACTTACAATTGAACACTTTAAGCATTATGCTAAGAGCGAAGTTATGTCCATGTCCGTCGATGTTTAAGATGTTATTATACATATGTATGTGTGTGTGTATGTGTGTGTATGTATATATATATTTTTATTATGTTTAATTCTATTTAACGACTCGTCTACTTTGTGTTTTGTACATTGCACACGAACTTTAATTAGTTAAGGTGGTCTGCACAAGTAGTTTGTTACTTTTTTGATCTCCTGACTTATTTTTTTTCTGTCAAATAAAATTTGGATTAAAAAAAAAAAAAAAAAAAAATATATATATATATATATATATATATATATTTTTCTTACTAAAATTTTCTGGAAATTTTTCGTTCAATTTATTGAAAATAGAATTATTATCCAACTCGACGCCTTAATAATACAGAAACAACAAGTGTGAAAAAAAAGGAAAAGTTATCCAGAGAAAAGACCAACAAAACAACAAATTAACCAAACTGCAGCTGCTGTATACAAACATACACACATACATATACATACAAACAAAAAAAACACACACACGCATACACACATACATACATATAAATACATACATACACACATACATACATACATAGGCACATACATACATGCAGGCACATACATACATGCAGGCACATAAGAAGTTGAAAACAAGTTAATATAATGATGGAAATTCTGTATATGGATGAAAATCTTGTAATAAACAACGGGAGTAATAAAAACGAATATAACAATAAAAATAAGAACAATAATTAGAATAATAAAAATAAAAATGAGAAAAGGCTACATCCCA